AAAAACCACACACACCATAATACGAAATATGCAATATAATAATATTTACCAATATTCTGCAGGTACACATTGTAGTGTATATACATAGACAGGTAGATAGATAGATAGATAGATAGATAGATAGATAGATAGATAGATAGATAGATAGATAGATAGATAGATAGATAGATAGATAGATAGATAGATAGATATCATGGAGATTCACAGACGGAAACATCGATTACATTAAGTCTGATAGATTAACCAACAATCAGTCAGCGTGGTACAGACACATTCATGGACAGACACAGTAGACGGCCAGAAAACAGCAAGTACTGGGGAGAGTGGCCTGTGAACTATGTCGGCTGACCTGGTACAGCCGCCTGAGAGACGACGTTTCTCTCTTGTCTGACGTAAGACAGGTCCGACTTCGGGCCAACCAGAGATAGTGGTCGATGGGAAAGGGTAGATGGCATCTATCTTAGACTTGTAGCGGGTGCAGGGCATCCTCAGGGGTATCGACGGATTTTGTCTGAGCTAGTGAAATGCAAGGAGAATGGAGCCAACATATTTTTGTACGTCTAAGTGAAAATTACAGAGAAAAGTGTTGGATGCTGAAGCTATAAGCAGGGAAATTGCAATTGGTATTCTGTGTTTTCTCCTCTTTCAAAATGTATAGGTAAGTAACGTGAAAAAGAATAGAAGTAGAATGCAAAGACTAGAAGATGGTTAAATAACAAGAACCCCTAAATAACAAACAATAATATATATTTTTTAGAAATTATTCGTTCCTGATTCTAAAGGGCGTAGTCCTCTCCGGAGTTTAACACGATATCCACGGAGTTAACAATGCCGAGGTAGAATTTACCTCGGCCTGCATTAGGCAATTAAAATAATAGGACAGTGGCAGAGAAATGTGTGACATCATGGTGAAATCAGGCGCTCGTCAAAATAATGACATCAAAGAAACCGACATTGTTTTGCTTGTTGGGCTATCTTTATGGATATTTTTAGTGGCTCAACACCTTTTATCACTTTTTTGTTTATGTCTATTAAAAAAAAAATTATGAGTGGATTTTTACTGAAAAACGTTAATCAAAGGCACAAAAAGTGAAAATTTGTAGTTTTCATTGACACTCAAGCGTTGGAAGACAGCAAATTTTGGCTGCCATTTTCTCTCAAATCTTACTTCTGAAACCAGGCGACATCCACCTCTGTTAATTGCAAAGTCTCGACTTCTATTCAAAATAGATGGGTATTTTTTAATCGAAAAAAGACAAAAGAACAGGCTTTATGGTGATGTTAATAGCTCCATATTATATACCCCCCAAAAAACAACCGACGACCGCTTGATTCCACCGCGTCCTGACTCAAATGGCCACATCATGTCAACATGGGTCAGTGCCGACTTTGAAGTAGTCCTCTGCGATCAGTGACCACCATCCCAGCCTTACCCCGCCTCTATCCTGTCCTTTTTGTCCCTTTCAATCATTACCTTCCACCTGCCTCATACATGAATTTATTTCCATATTGTGCTGGTATAAAACGAAATGGATCGTTGGACTCTGTTACTAATTTGACTTTTGGAGGAATCGATTTTCGCATTTTAGCCAAAAGTTCTTCGTTAATATTTATTTTCGGTTGGAATGTGTCCCTTTCTCTGTCTTTCAGTGTGACTGTTTGTCTGTCTGTCTCTGTCACGCTCGCGCGTGTGTGTGTGTGTGTGTGTGTGTGTGTGTGTGTGTGTGTGTGTGTGTGTGTGTGTGTGTGTGCGTGTGCCTCTGTGTATGTGCGCGTGTATATATTATTATATATATGTGATATATTATATATATATATTATATGATATATATATATATATATATATATATATATATATATATATATATGTATGTATGTGTGTGTGTGTGTGTGTGTGTGTGTGTGTGTGTGTGTGTGTGTGTGTGTGTGTGTGTGTGTGTGTGTTTGTGTGTATGAGGGTGTGTGTGTGTTTCTGTGTGTGTTCACGTATGTACTTTTGTGGCTGTGTTTCTGCCTTCGATTCTGTCGTAACTTATATTTCTTTTTTACTATCGTTCTAACTTATTCGATTTCACTACGTGCATATTTTCTAGGGTTTGAATTATCCTACTCACTTCTATCTGTCTCCACCTTTCTTGGGCATCTGTTTGTCAGTCTCTAGATCAATCCTTGTCTTCCTCTTCCTGTGAGTGTTGGGGGGGGGGGCATGTGCTGAGGTGCTCTGTCTGTCTGTCTGTCTGTCTGTCTGTCTGTCTGTCTGTCTGTCTGTCTGTCTGTCTGTCTGTCTGTCTCTCTCTCTCTCTCTCTCTCTCTCTCTCTCTCTCTCTCTCTCTCTCCCCCCCCCCCCCACCTTTTTCATTTTGCCCCCCCCCCCCCAATCAATATTTTGTTCTGTTGTTTTGCCCCCCCCCCCCCCCCCCCCCGCCAATCACCTCACTATGTCGGTCTGTTTTCTCTGTCTGTTTTTCTGTTTGTCTCTTTCTTACTCTCTCCCCCTCTCTCTTCCTCCCGCTATCCCTCCGTCCACTCTTTCTATCCCACCTCTCTCCCACCCTCTCTCTCCCTCTCTCTCACTCTCAAACACACTCAACAGCCCACCATCTACTTCGCGTCAACAAGCCAAAAGCGCTCATCCAACACCTGGCTGGCTACACGAGCCGTTGACAACCCTCACTCACGTACCAAACCCCTGGCACCAGATGGGTGCATACATAAACCTACTCAGTCCACCAGCCACAGGTATGCATGGACTTCTAACCTGTTGTCCCACTCACTCGCCTGATCATGGCGGAAAAGGATTCGTATGTGTGTACTCATTTACTGTGTATTTCCTGTGACTATTAATTATCCGCTGTACTTTGTCTTGGAGCTCTGAAAACACCGTCGGCATTTATTGTTTTTTACCTTTCACTACCCCGAGCCAGCGACCCAGTCTTTCGTGCCATCCAAGACAAATCCTGAATAATAATATTATTTCGTGTTTATAACTATCGTGCTCGTTCAAACTAAATGTTTCCTTTTTATC